TCAATCGGGGATCACCAGCGGACCTCTAACACCCCCCCGCACTGGGATGCCCGAAGTGCATACACCGGGATTCGAACCCGAGACCGCTCTGATACCATGTCAGAATCCCAACCACTAGACCATTGGGATAAAAGGGCTTGTTAAGTAGCGGGTCAGTGCGCCCATAACCCCCCAGGCAAATGTGTCTGTGACCCTTCCCTAGGATCAATCGGGGATCACCAGTGGACCTCTGACATGTTCCTCATTGGTTGCTATAACTGTACAACATTGTGACAGGGTGCTCGTGTTTGGTTTGTACAGATCTCGTATTGCAGTATCGGGCAGTACTATACAAGAATCAATCATGAGCCCCCTGTCTGCCACTGCCTCAATGCTTCACATGAAAAAACAGCGAGAGCACGGCAGGTGGCTGTTATCGTCGCTGCGTGCAGCAGTCACTTGCGTACTTAATTTCACGGCTCGTCGCCCATTTGGGCGGGAACGAAATATTTCGCGGTTTTTTATTTAAGTGACAACTGAAATCAGCTGCAACAAATTCCCTGCACTGCGCGTGAAGTTATGAGTCTTAGACAAGCATAATTATTTACCAGCACAAAACGATTTCGAAACATTGGGCAAAACTCTGCTCAATAGTCTCGAGCGTAGGACTATGCCACGCTGTAAATTGCATGTTCCTCATTGGCTGCAATCACAACATCACAGCACGAACAGCGGGACAGCGTGCCATGCTAATTTATCCGCCGAGTTGTTTGTGATTCGTTGATTTTACTGCAGCAACAGTGCGCCAGTTAAATCTGCGACAACAGCAGTTTCACACTATGCTCGGTAGACACACCCAGTATTAGAGATTTTGATTGTATAGTTTTTGGTTCATAAACAGGTATATCAGCCTGTGATTGTTATTGTTTATTGGTGTTGTTGTGCCATGGTTGCCAAAACAACAAATACAGATACACAAACTGACATCGCACGTCTGTCTGTATCTTCCTGTGCTTCAATACTCTTCAACAAGTGAAAATCATCATTCAGAATTGCTAGAAACAGAATCTGTTTAATAGCCAACTGTCATCCCCTATGAACGGCTGCACTAGATGCACCGCTCTCTTGATGCTTGCGGTCTCTACTACCCGGTAACGATCATCGAGGTCTGCCCACTTCAGCTTCACACACTTCGTTACCGGGTCTAGGGCCCTAGTCGCCTCGTAGTATTTTATGAATGCATAGTCTTTCTTGGTCCCATTCTCTACGATTCGAAACAGGAGTAGTAAATTAGCATACCACTCTGAATCACCCTCTTCTCTCTCAGTCCCTAGCACAGCTACATCTGAGAACCATGGCCTTCCGTGGAAGGAAGGAAGCGCACGGATGCGGTGAGGAAGGCGAGAGAACTCTGTCAACGGGAGTTGTGTGTTGGCCCCGTCCTCGCTTGGGCGGAGCCGACTTCGTGGTCGGGTGTGAGGGAAGCAGCCGGCCTGCAGCAGTGGGCAAGCTGGTTGACGAGGAGGTCGACCTGCACTGGGGCCACTGCGCGGGCGCTAACTTCAGGTTGGCGCCGACTTCGGGGAGGTCAACCTGGGAAGTCGACCTGCGGAGGACGTCAACTTGGTGACGTCAACTTGGGGCAGCCGACTTGGGTGGTCGGCCGACAACTGCGCTGGTCGACATGAAGCTGGTCGACCAGGACTGCTGGTCGACGTGGAGCTGGTCGACCAGAAGTGACGTCGACCTGGAGCTGGTCGACCAGGCGCGTGGTCGACCTAGTGAGGTCGACTTGGAGTGGCCGTCGACTTGGGAGGTCGACGAGCACATACAGGAGCAGCTGGTCGACGTGGTTGCCCGGTCGACCAGGTTATCTGGGTGACGAGGTTCTGCGGAGGAGTGCGACGGTCGCCCAGGCGAAGTTGGCGAGCCCGACCTCGGGGGTGGTATCCCAAGGTCGACATGGCGGATCATGTGGAGTCGTCAGCACGAGGATGACTTGGTGTGTGCGTTGTGCAGCTGACGAGGCTCAGCCTGCCAATCATCTGCGCGCACCTGCGAAGCGGGTGCACTGCTGTTCTGCGTGAGCAACGCTGGCACGCCGTCAACCTGCAACGTTGGCACGTCGTCGACTTTGCACTGCTAGAGCGCGGTCGACGGTGTCGTGCTGGAACGCGGTCGGCCGAGCTGTGCTGGCAGTCGACCGACCTGAATGCTAGCTCTGATGTAGTCTTGCCATGCCAACTTCATTGAACCATTGTTGTCAACTTTCTCTAGTGAAACTCTTGCCAATTCTCCCCATGAACTAGCAAGCTGTATGTGCACTAGGAAAACGACTAAGGACCAACGAACGCAGAGATCACACGAGAACCCGTGCCAATCCCGTAGTCTAGCTCCCGTTGTAGTAGTTATCTCCGCAAACTCTGCATCTACGGCTGCAGGCATTGCTAGCTCGGTGTGAACCTGGATGTGCGTGATATCCTCGCCCCTACACTTCGGTGCAATGTTCAAGGCACCCCTGAGGAATGGCAGCTCTTCCCGTAGAGCTTCGGCATAAGCCTTGTCCCTTTTGCTATCTGAAGTTTGTGGTTGTGGCACTTCCGGAGCCTTTGGTACCACCAACTTCCAACTTGTGCGAGACAAGAAGCGTGTGCCTGTCCGTTGGGCCATGAGCATGGCCGTGTCATACCTTTTCCTCTTGCCCAAGAGTGGTGCAAGTGGCTGCAAGCGCAAGCGCTGGACCTCGGAGCTAACTATTTGAGACCCCACGCTCCGCTTGTTAGAGGCACGGTACGGATGTTTTATGCACTCGATGTGCAAGTGTTCAAAGAGCTGCGCGCTATAGTGCTCCGGAACACCCGCACGCTTGATGGCGTCAATGAAAACACTCACCAAGTGTGCTTTCACAATTTTCCAGCCGGAGTGTTGCTTGAATGCACGTGTAAGGCTGTTGAGCATTTTCTCTGCCCGTTGCTTTAAGTCTAGGAGTGACTCATCAGTGTGCTCAGTCACACGTGCACAATGCAAGTACCACTCTACATATGCAATCAATGCATCCATTTGTGGCTGCGTGACGAACGTGGTAACAAGGAAGGGAAGTACTAGCATCACACTACGATGCTCGTATGCTTGGTCGTTGGCACCTTTAGAGATGTATGTGCCGGCTGGTAGGCGCATAAACGCACTCCGAGCGATGCTACGTAGATACTTTAGCCTCCTATCCAGCAACTTCCTTCGTGCATCGGTCATTTTAGTGCCGGGTGTGTCACCACCTTGACGAATGCATTCCACTATGTGTTCCAACAACCCCAAATCTGCTTGGTGCATGATGTCGGGCATGACACAAAGGTATGGGTTGAGAAGTGGTTCAGATTCCCATCACCATCCCCATAGGCAACACTCGACGGGATGCATTGACAAGTCATCGTGTTGCGTAGCATCATACGCACCACTCTTTATGATTCGGTACAATGATCGATGGACATGAGGTGTTCTATCGACCATGCCACGCTTAAAATGAGCTAATTCATCCCGTTTTGTGAGGCAGATGGAGCATGGTTGAGTTGTGCTTCCTGACTTTGTGCACGTGACCTTGCATGATTCAGGATAGTCACACACATACACATAAAGAGCAGGCCATGCGTTCAAGGTTTCACCATTGGAACCTTTGATCTTAATACACGTGTGAGACGCACGCTTGAGTGGGGCTAGCACTTGGTTAAGCACATGTTGGAACACAACAAGCTTATCCAACGAGTCGTACTCTACTGTAAATTCAGGGAGAAGAGCGAGTAGCACGTGCCCGTGCTTCTTCCACCTCTCTTCCCTTAGAATATTGGCCGTTTCCATGTGCGTCTCATCCGACGCTAGTATAAGAGCAGCGACAAAGCCATCCACCACCTCTTTGAGAATATTTTCTTGCATTTTTTACCACCAATCTCCCGTTTCTGGATTGGAGTAAACATGCTTCTCCCGGGGGTTGCGAGTTGTCGCTTCCTTGACAATCTTACCCTCAAGCTTCGGATGTGTGAGAAGCTCTTTCAGCGCTAGAAGGCCATCAGAATAGTGATATGCAAGCCATGACTTTGTCCTAACACGCACCCTGGCCTTCTTCCAGCCCCTCAACGTATCAGGAACCCTCGACTCAGCGTACTTTTCAACATCACGAATGCTTTTCCAATGGGCAATGTCATACAACCGTGTGCTTGCATGACACAAGATTGCCAACAAGGTAGCAATCTGGCTTTGTGACAGATTCTCCATCAACAACCAGTGTGCAAGGGCATCCATGAAGTTGAATGGACGTTCCTCCACATCATCAGACCCGGGAATCCCGAGGCTTTCCGTCTCAGCAGGTGCTGCCTCACCAGATGTACCCTCACCCCCCCCCCCCCCCCCCCCCCCCCAACCTCATCCGGCATGTTTATAGCAACAAGTACATCACAAGGCATGCAGTCCTCATCATCATCACTATCTGAGCTACTGTCAATGTCACTATCTACATCTGAAACAAAATCTCCTGGCACCATGCTATCCTGCAAAGTTTCAGCAGCATCACACACAACAGGAGGGTCATCTAACTCCACGGGCGTAAGGTTGAATGATGGGATGTGCGCCACTGGCGCTCAGTGTTGTCGCGTTAGAAGGTACGGATTGCTACCACTTGTAGATGCAACCGCAGGCAGTCTCACGGCCCTGCACGCCTGGCTTCGCTAGTGTGAAGCAAGAGCCTGTGCTGTGTCAAAATATGCCTGTGCTGGGCATTTGCTACACGTGTATGCCATCTGCAAACAAGACAGCAAACCACGTGCGCTGGATAATGGAACAGAGAAATAAAGAGATCAGGGAGCGACGGAGAGAGAGAACGGGACAGCAAGAGAGCACGAGAGCTACGTAGGGAGAGTACGGGGCAAGCAAGAGAGCACAGGAGTGACGGAGAAAGAGAACGGGACATCGAGAGAGCACTAGAGCGACGGAGCGCGCGCATGCGACTGGGATTGAGCACGGGGCGGCGGAGAGAGTTAATGCGACTGACGGAGAGTAAGGGAGCGACAGAGAGAGAGAGAACGCGAAAGAAAGATATAACGGGAGGGACGGAGCGCGCGATTGCTATCAAGAAAGAGCGAATGCGAGAGAGCGAGAGCACGGGAGCGACGGAGCACGAGAACGATAGCGCGCACGCGAGCGAGAGAGATACAACGGGAACGAGAGCGGCCGGGACAGAGAACGGGAGCAAAGGAGATGGCGAATGCGACGGTGGGAGAGCTTGGGAATGACGAAGAGGGAGAATGCAACGGTGAGAGAGCACGGGAGTGATGGAGAGAGAGAATGCGACCGTGGGAGAGCACGGGATCGACGGAGGGAGAGGATGCGACGGTGGGAGAGCGGACTGGAGGGACGGAGAGAGAGAATGCGACGCTAAAAGAGCACGAGAGCGATGGAGAGAGCTTTTGCGATCGAGGGAGAGCGGACGGGAGGGACGGCGTGCGAATGAGGTATGGAGAGCGCACAAAAGGGTCGGAGATAACGAACGTAAGTGAGAGTGGACGGAATGGACAGAGCGCGCGAATGCGGAAGGGAGAGCTCACGGAATGGACGGAGAGAGCGATAGCGAGAGGTATAGCAGACGGGGGAGACGGAGCGCGCGAAAACGGAAGGTAGAGCGCATGGAATGGACGGAGAGAGCCAATGCGAAGGGAGAGCGGACGGGATGGACGGAGCGCAAGAATGCGGAAGGGAGAGCGCACGGGAGGGACGGACCGCGCAAATGCGAACGATAGCGAGCACGGGAGCGACGAAGTTAGCGAATGCGAAATGGAGAGCGGACGGGTGGGACGGAGTGCGCGAACGGAACCAAGAAAGAGAGAGAGAGAGAGAGAGAGAGAGAGAGAGAGAGAGAGAGAGAGAGAGAGAGAGAGAGAGAGAGAGAGAGAGAGAGAGAGAGAGAGAGAGAGAGAGAGAGAGAGAGAGAGAGAGAGAGAGAGAGAGAGAGAGAGAGAGAGAGAGAGAGAGAGAGAGAGAGAGAGAGAGAGAGAGAGAGAGAGAGAGAGAGAGAGAGAGAGAGAGAGAGAGAGAGAGAGAGAGAGAGAGAGAGAGAGAGAGAGAGAGAGAGAGAGAGAGAGAGAGAGAGAGAGAGAGAGAGAGAGAGAGAGAGAGAGAGAGAGAGAGAGAGAGAGAGAGAGAGAGAGAGAGAGAGAGAGAGAGAGAGAGAGAGAGAGAGAGAGAGAGAGAGAGAGAGAGAGAGAGAGAGAGAGAGAGAGAGAGAGAGAGAGAGAGAGAGAGAGAGAGAGAGAGAGAGAGAGAGAGAGAGAGAGAGAGAGAGAGAGAGAGAGAGAGAGAGAGAGAGAGAGAGAGAGAGAGAGAGAGAGAGAGAGAGAGAGAGAGAGAGAGAGAGAGAGAGAGAGAGAGAACGGGAACGTGAACGCGCACAAAATGCGAGAGAGAGAATGGGACCGATGTCGAGCACAAATGGGGGATAGAGATAGAGCGGGAACTAGAGATGATTTTAAAATGAGAGAACGAGAGAACGTTGAGAGAGAGACATGAACTCAACTTATTTCATCGATGAGACCAGATGGACGTGAGTCCCTAACACGAGGCACGACCGCAACACCACGAGAAAACGACCGTAAAAACGCGATCCCAAAAGGCGTGCGTACTACCAGTATCACAGTCTTGCAACATTCGTAGTGACTAAGCGAAAAAGGCCACGAAAGTGATTTCGGAATGGCCAAGAATGTGAATCTGGAACAAGTCCAACTAATGAACGAGTTCGAGAGGTAAGTGGGATACTAGTGTGCTGGACACGTAGAAAATTCATCCGCAACCAAAAATTGCGAAAGGGAAATCCACCAGTAAGGTGTTGTTGGCGAGTCGCCAAAATAATTCGTATATGCGCGTTGAAAGGCCAGAGTAACTTTGCGAAACGAGGGTGCCTTTCCGAATCGCGTTCCTAGCATAAGCGGGGAAATTCTACGGACCGCCGCGATCTGGGTTCCTAAATTTCACGGATGAATTCGAATTCACATTTCCTAGGCGAAAAAGAATGGTAATGGTCAAATCGCACCCCCAACGACAACGTAAAATGTTACTCAACTGGAAAGTGTACATGAATTTGTAACAATATGTCAAACTCATATCATATTTGTCTAGGCTCTAGTGGGGTATGTGAAAAAAATAAACAGGAATGGGAATGACTAAGGACAGATTGGGTACAAATACAACCCTAGAAACCCTGTACCCCATATGTGCTACCCCACTATAGCCTACAAACATGCATCAGCTATAATACTCTTACACACCCCCATAGGCTAAGTGGGGGAGAACAAGGGGTCACAAGACCAGTCAAGCAAAGCAAAGCAAAGAAAGCTCAGGGTGGATCACAAAGTCACCACACAGTCCGAGCACAAGAGCAGGGCCAGAGGCCAGTTCACATGCAGGAGTACAGACATATATATAAAACTAGACCAGCAAGAGCAGGTATATATATATGTCACAGTACAAGTGAAGTCAAGAGGAGAGCAAGTGAGGCAAGACAGGTACAAGACCCAGCTGGGTGCAAAAGCGCTAATGGTCACAAGGCGCGAGTGCCTTGGTGAACACATCAGCAGTGTTGGCCTCAGAGGCCACGTACGCAAGTCGCAACTGACCACGCTGCTGCAGCTCACGAGCAAGGAAGTAGCGGAGAGCAATGTGCTTCGTTCTGTGCTCCAAGCGCTGCTCTCAACACAAGGCCAGCATGGCCTTGTTGTCTACGTACAGCACTGGAGGAGAACGAGGCGGCTCTCCAAGGTCAGTCAGCAGGTACGTGAGCCAGCGAAGCTCCTGTGCAGCCATGGCCCCGGCGTAGATCTCAGCCTCACAACTGGAGCCGAGAACCGAAGACGAGCGAGTAGACCGCCACGAGACAGAGCCGGAACCAAGGCTGAAGGTGTAACCCTGTGACGACCGCTGCGTAGCCTGGTCGTCAGCCCAAGAAGCGTCCGCGTGGCCGGTAAGGACCACTGGACTCCGCCCTCCAAGCACTAGCCCCATGCCCGACGTACTGCACAGGTAGCGCAATACCCTCTTCGCTGCAGCCATGTGCTCCGGTCTGTGTCTCCCATGAGCAACATAGCGTGCAAGAATGCTCAGAGGGTATGCAAGGTCAGGTCGTGTGCAGGTCATCAGGTACATGAGGCAGCCAACAAGCTCTGCATACGGACCACTCGACTCTACGGACTCATCCGAAGGCAGAGCTGAGAGTGAGTGGCGAGTAGGCAGAGGAGTGGCCTGAGGCGAGGAGTACATGAAGCCGAAGCGTTGAAGGACCTGCTGCACCATGTGTGACTGAGTCAAGGTAATGGTGCGGCGTGCTCTGTCCCGAGTGATCTGCAAGCCAAGGTAGCTGCGCAGTTCACCCAGGTCTGTGCACGTGTGTCTCTTCAGCAGCTCGGACTTCACGTAGGCGAGTCCAGCAGTGTCCGCTGTGGCAAAGACCAAGTCGTCGACGTACACGAGGATGTAAAACGGCGGCAGGGAAGTGTCGGTGCGAAGAAACAGCGACGGGTCAGCAGTAGAAGGAGCAAACCTAAGAGCCGCAAGCGTAGTCCTCAGTGTGTCGTGCCACTCACGCGGTGCCTGGCGGAGACCATAGACTGGCCGTCGGAGGCTCCACTGGGTGCCAGGAGGGAAAGTCCCAGTGAAGCCAGGTGGACGGCGAAGCCAGATCTCCTCGTGCAGGCTACCCTGCAAGAACGCAGTGCTGAAGTCGAGAGAGTGAAGCTCGTAGTCGCGCTGAGCGGCTATGTGCAGCAGCACCCGAAGAGTAGTCATCTTCGGGGTGGGAGAGAAGGTCTGAAAGTAGTCAACTCCCTGCCGCTGACTGAAGCCACGAGCAACGTACCGTGCCTTGAAGACAGGTGGAGAGCCCGGCGGCCGCTTCACCCTGAAGATCCACATGCCACTGACGATGTTCGCCCCAGGAGGGGGAACCGCGTCAACGTAGGTGCCTGTGGACTTCCAGGAAGCCATCTCTGCATCCATAGCTGCCTGCCACTGAGAGGAGTAGGGACCCTCTACGGCCTCCGCGTAAGAACGCGGAGTCGGGATGTCTAGTGCATCCGGGTCTCCCTCAGGGGCAAGCAGTACAGACGCGAGATGAGGTGAAGCAGCCGCTAGACACTGGAACTCCTCCTGCCTGTCCTCTAGGACGTCAGTGCCAAGAGCACACTCACCCCCGACGGACGGAGGACAGACAGACGCAGACTCAGCAACAAGACTAGCAGCGTAGTCAAGACGACAGCGAGCAGCAAAGTCGACGAGCTCAGCGACTAGAGCAGACGCAGCAGTGGACTCAAAAGAGGGGTCAGTGACGACAGTAGCAAGCAGACGCGTGACAGTAGGACTGGCAGCACAAAGAGAGTCCTACTCAGGGTCGGCAAGCGCAGGAAGAGAGGACTCAGGAGGAGAAGGCAAAGGGGCACGCAGAGGAGCAGTGGACGGACGCAAAGACATCCGGTGCGTGCCAGGGACAGGAGGAGGACGCTGACGCGAACTACGACCACTAGCACGAGCAGCACGAACAGGCGACGCGGGACGAGACGCAGGCTCACGACGCTCAGCAAGACCTCCAGTAGGACCAGTGTAAGGAGAGGGAGCAGGCAGTGGAGAGGAAGGCTCCAGCAGGGACTGCGACTGGACAGGCGGTGGACCCTCTACTAGAGGAGAAAGACCAAGAACCTGCTGCAGGAGCGGAACGAAGTACGGCCGAGGCCGCGCGGCAGCTCCAGACTCAGCAGGGACAGCACCACCACCCTCAGCGACAGCACCAGCGCCACCCACACCTCCAGCAGCAGGACCAACAGCAGTAGGCTCAGCACCAACGCCCTCAGCAGCTCCAGCTCCAGGAGGACCCGCAGGTCCAGCAGCTCCGGGACCGGCAGCACCCGCACCCTCGACGGTCGAAGAAGCTTCAGCTCCAGCTCCAGCAGCACCTCCAGACTCAGCAGCACGCCTCCAGCGGCGAGCGAACCACTCGCGCAGCTCCTGTGGAGAGAGGGGCTCCCGGCGAGACGCAGCAGCAGGAGAAACCCCAGGCTCAGCAGCTCCAGACGCAGCACCCCCAGGCTCAGCAGCTCTCAGCTCAGCACCCGCAGGCTCAGCAGCTCTCAGTTTAGCACCCCCAGGCTCAGCAGCTCCCGACCCAGCACCCCCAGACCCAGCACCTCCAGGCACAGCACCCCCCGGCTCAGCACCCCTAGGCTCCGCACCCTCCGCAGTAGCACCCTCAGGCCCAGCACCCCCAGCAGTAGCACCCCCAGGCTCAGCACCCCCGCGCACAGCACCCCCAGAGTCAGCACCCCCAGGCTCAGCACCCGCAGCAGCACCAGAGTCACCTGTAACCTCGACCGGGTCAACGTTGTCTACCTGGGACACACCTGAGGGGGCAGGAACTTGAGGGGGGAGGGGGTCTACCGGGGGGGGAACCGGCACAAGGAAGTCCGGGGGAGGGGGGAGGGAAGGAGTGCGGTAGGGGAAGAGACGGTAGAAGGGGACTGACTCGTCGAACGTGACGTCCTGGGAGGACAGAACACGACGAGAGGAGGGGTGGTAAAACTGCCACCCTGGGGCGTCAGTGGGGAAGCCAAGGAAGACACAGGGAGCAGCACGAGGGGACAGCTTGTCCGCAGACAAGTCGCGGACAAACGCCCGAGATCCCCAGACACGGAACACAGACGCATCGCCAACCTTCTCCGTCCACAGCAAGGCTGGGGACATCGCAGGCCGAGAGACCCGGGGGTGAAGGTTGAGCTGATGCGCCGCGTACCTCACCGCAAACGGCCACAGAAAATGGGGGGCAGCCGCATGCATCATGGACGTACGAGCGACATCCATGACCATGCCAATGCGGCGCTCAGCAATCCCATTTTGCTGTGGTGAGTCCGGAAGCGTGAAGGTCTGGCGAATCCCCCGTGCACGACAGTAGTCCCGCAGAAGGCGAGAGGAGAACTCTCCGCCTCTGTCCGAGTGCAGACGCAGAACAGGAAAGTCCGAGCCGAAGCTCTTCCTGAGCTGGAGACGAGCCTCGCGGATCCAGTCGATCAGCACCTCAGTGACCGCACCCTTGCTGCGCAAGGGGAGGACTGTGGTGTAACGCGAGTAGTCGTCAACCACCAACAGGAAGTAGCGCTCGTAACCCTGCCCACGGACGGGGGCTGGGCCCCACACATCCATGTGAAGCGTCTGCAGGGGAGCCTCTGTCGGGGGGAAGTGGGAGGAGTGAGGAGTAGCCCGGAGGCGACCCTCGACACAGGGGACACAGGAAGGTCCTGGCCCGGAGGGGAGAGGAGGGAGAGACTGGGGAAGACCAGAGACAAGGACACGGGAAGCCATGCTCCGAAGACGGGGCAAGGAGGGGTGGCCAAGACGGTGGTGCCACAGGAGAGTCTCGTGAGACAGGAGGCGACAAGAACAGGGGGCAGACTCAGGACCTGACCGGGACGCAGCAGCAAGCACCTGACCCGACGCAGCCACCTGACCAGACGCAGGGACAGGGGGAGACTCAACGGTCAGGGTGTAGAGACTCGACCCCGGCCGACGCGAGAACGTGGCCAGGTGTCGGCCTGTGCGTGCCTCCGTGCAGTGGGTCACCCGCTGACTCGCAGGAGTGAACTGGTGAACCCCCACATCCTGCAGGTCCGCTC